TGGATATGTTAATTAGCTTGATTGTGGTCACCATTTCACAAACTTTCAATCCCTCATTATGCTTAGTACAATACCTTGTGCTTGGTGCACATTCAATAAAACGTTGGATGAATGGGTTTCCCAGGGACCTCTGCCTCCACTCCTCCCCTGTATTCCACCCTGAACTGCTTCTGGAAATGAGCAACACTCCTCCAGGCTGGCCTCTGCAGTGTCACCACGTTAGGTAGGTGCTTCCTGGGGCATGCATTCAGCTCATGCACCTGCCTCCTTCCTCCCCTCTGTTCACTCCCTACATATGGAAAGACACTGCCTCCATGAGCAAGAGATGCACAAAGGAAACCTCTAGGGCTCCAGACCACACTTCATAAATCATGGCATTAAATTTGCCTGTCCATCCTGCAACTAGAAGAGAGAGTCCACAACTGCAAGCCACAAAGGGCAAAAGAAGCACAAATACTGACTCACATTTTTTTTCCTCGATGGAATAAAAATATCATTGAGCAAAAGGAGGGCACTTCAGATCTTGGTTTAAAGCTTAAGAAACTGGGGGAGTTGGGGCTGGAGTAGAGACGACTCAGGTGTGGCCCATCATCTGATACATGAAGTGGAACAGAGTCATTCACATGGCCTGCAGAAGGCACAACCAGGCACAATGGGAGGGCATCAGATCTGAGCTCAGTACCGGGAGGAATTTCCTCACTGTCAGAGCTGTCCAAAGATGGAAACAGTGCCACTGGGGAAAGTTTCTGCTGGAAGTATTTGAGTGAAGTGTTGACAATTTGTCAAGATGATTTTGTCAAGTGGCTTAAATAAGAGACTTGAGCATAGGCTGAAGAGGGCTGAATTCAATAAATCTGGGCCCTCAGTTATGAAAATATCTGAGGAAAGAAGGACCAGGACACTGTCACAGCAATGCCAGTGATGGTAAGGGCCACGGGGAGGGTATTCCCAGAAAGGATAGTGTCTTAGCGAGGAGGAAATGTGAGCAGTGGAAAGAGCATTGCCTTTGGCATCATAAGACCTGGGCTCTAGTCCCAGCTCCGATGCTGAATGCTCTGAGGGACTTCTGGTCATCCTCTCGGATCCTCATCTGTAAAATGGAATTGTTAAGCTCCACTGAGAGCCATTACTGCTCCAGCCGCCAATGATGCTGTTAATGCAAATGATCGCAGAAGGTAGAGGTCAGTAGATGTTTTCTGTTAAGAAAAAGGGTCAGATAGTAAATAGTTTACGCTTTGTGGGATACATATGGTCTCCACCACATATTATTCTTGTCTTGTTTTGTGTTTTACAATCCCTTAAAAGAGAAAAAAAGCAAGACTGTAAATAACATTCTTAATTTGTGAGCCATACAAAAACAGGCTGTGGACCCACAGGCTATAGTTTAACTACCCCTGGCATAAGGAGCTTTAGAATAGCTTGATGAAATCGTCCAGAAAGAGTAAAGTCAGAGATTCAGCTTAAAAGGACACAAAATTCCCCCAAAAACAAACTGAGCGATGGTAAAAGAAAACTGGAAGTATATCCTAAAGAAATAATAAAGTCAAGCCCAAATATCATTGGACGAGGCAGCCCTGAAAGAGGATAAAACAGAACAAAATAACATTGGAAGAGATGGGGCATTAGCTGGGAATGCCTTTTCTAAGTTGAGGAAGCACAGTGGGCCTGGATCGCTGTCTCTGCAGCCCAGAGATCATGCAGGAGTCAGGATGCCTGTCCCTGAAGCAAACCACTCTTAACACTCCAATAGAAAAAGAAGAATGTAAACTGGAAGAAATCCAGCACGTTAAATGATCAGGGTTCAGAGGCAGTGACTAAATGGAGGATGAGTGTGTGTAGACAAATACGAGCAGGCTCATTAAGTAGCATTTAAGAAGACAAGTGATACTAATCCGCAGATATATCTGAAAACTGCAAACACCATAATCAGCAGGACTGGCAGAGGCAAAATGAGATTGTTAGCAAGATGGAGATTATCAGCAATTATCTGGGAAACAGGTAGTACAGCCCAGCTAGCAAATGATGGATTCACATCTTGGCTGCAGCACTTTTAAGCTGGGGTGGGGTGGGAGGAGGAAGGCGGGCAAGGTGGCAGAGCACCTGGAAAACCAGGAGTCAAGAGACATGAGTTCCAGGAACAATTCCATGTATTGCAACCTTAGGCAAATCACAACCACATGGGGCTTCAATTTTTCATTCTGTAAAATGAGGATTAGCATTCCTGCCCTCCTTGTGGCTTTTTGTGAAGACGTTCTACCCAGCTGACCACTTTTGCCTATTCTACTCAAAAGGACAAAAAGTATTCAGGGTCTGGCTCATACCCTGGGGGGCAAATGACAACAGTACTAAAAAAGACTCCTAGAGTCCATAAAGAGCTTTTAGATGCATCTCTGCAGATCCTCACAAACACCTGGGGAGTCATAAGAACAGGTATGTTTGTACCCATTTCATACATGAATACACTGAGACTAAGCAGGGTTACCAATGACAAAAGACTGGAAAGTATCAAAGCTGGTTCTAAACCTGAGAACCCTGGCTCCTAGCTGGACTTCCCACCATGTAGAGGAAGCTGAGAGTGTTAAGCAAGTATTAGCCATGCTGACCCACTGTGACACTTGAGACTTTCAGTTACATCTGGTTTCTACAATTACTTGAAAAAAAAATAATAAACACTCCTTTTTATCCCTAAAAACACCTCTGTGGCCATGGAAGGGTTAGTGTCCACCCTCCTCTAGTCAAAAGAGTTCAACCATCTGCTGGCACCCCAGCCTCCTGGCCTCCTACTCCCCATGAAAACTTTGGAGAGTGACTGTAATACTTTCACACTTAAACCACCTTCTCTTCCAGTTGCTGGGTGTGCCAGAGCCTGTCACAAGTGAAATTTCCAAGTTCCGGACTGGTAAGAACAAGTTTCTCTGGTTTGTGTGTCCCCAGAGTGCCCAAAGGGAGCCACAAGCATTTCCCTCTTCCCAGCACCAGGCCACCCTACAGCCTTCCTCCTCCTCCTCCTCTTCCTGGACCCAGCTTTTCCAGCTCTCGCTCACTCCAGCCCCTCTGATCGCAGGGCGGGGACGCAGGGCAGCCCTTCCACCTCAGGCTGCCCCACAGCACCTGCAGCTGGCAGACGCTTGTGTCCTTCCTGATCTGCACTGTTTCTTTTCCATCTGAAACTGGACGACTAAGAGGCAAGACAGTGGCCACCTCCGTGGGGAGCATCTCCCAAGCCCTGGGACGCTTTCTGCCACTACAAGCTCATCCTCTCCTGCCCCTCACACTTGCACCCCCCAGCCTCTCCAATCTCCCACTCTTTCTCTGCTCACAGGCCCAGGGGATCCTCCCTGGGCACTGTTTAGCACCTCTGTCACTTCTGCTCATCCTTCCTTGCCCCTTCCCCTCATGCTGTGCCCCCGGAACTCCTCTCAAGTCGTTTCCACTCAGCTCCACACACCCTTCAGCCCACCCTTCCCTCCTCACAGCTCATCAAGGCCGTGGTGCCTCCATGCACCCCTCATCCCTCCCGTTGGCTCTCGCCCCCTCGGCCAGCATTTCAGGGCCCCCACATACCCACAGCCCTACAACCATCACCACCACGAAGTAGATGACGATGACAGAGATGTCGGCCGCATTGCGGATGCGCTCGTAGGACTTTAGGGGCTCGGCGGTGGTGGCCGTGGTCGCGGGGCTCCAGGTGCTACTGTCCATGGCGGCAGTGGTGATGCGTGCCTCCCGCCCAGGCCACTCGCTCCTTATACTGCCTCTGGGTTAATGATCAGCCCCAGGGGAGGGGACCCGTGAAGTCTGGCAGCAAGGCCGTCGTGCAGGGGCCCCTGCGCTGCACCCTCGGGCAGCAGCTCTGAGTGCAGAAGGAGGAGTTGCTGGCAGAGTTATTGGCAGGGACGCAGCAGGCAGGTAGGTAAGGGCTGTCCTGAAACCTGGGAGGGGCCAGCCAGGGGGTGGTGCCCGCCTAGCACAAAGGCCTACTGTGCTCCCAGAGCGTGCACTGGCCAGGCAACCTCTCCTGGCCTCCTGTGGGGCCACACCCAGACCCCATTGAGGAGCCAGGCTGCCTGGTGCTGGAGGCCTAGAAGCTTCAGATCACCTGCCACCTGCCCTTGGACCAGTCTTCTGTTCTCTGTGAACCTGGCTTCTCCATGTCTAAAATGGGCCCAGGACTGTTCCAGGAATCAGCCAAGTTCTCGGTCTCTATGGAGAGCATTCTGAGGAGGACCAGTTGTCGGGGGAGAAAATCAGCACGATGGAAGCATCTTTGGCCACAGGGATGGCCACTCACCCATCCACCTTTCTGTCTCCCCCTCTATAGCCTGCAGCCCCCAGGAGCACTGTTACCCCCACTGTAAGGAGGAGGAAACTGAGACTGGGAGGGGATCCCACTGGGAGCTATTTCCTTGCCCTGTGCCTCACCCAGTAATGTGATTTGGGGCCCTTCCCAGGCAGGCAGGAGGGAGGGAAGATACTAGAAAATCCCTCCCAAGGAGCTCATCAAACTCTGACCCCTTCTCACCTGTGAGCCTTACCCCACACACAGCCAATCGCCACCCATCCATCCACCTGAGACTGAGGCCGGAACAGAAAAACCAGACTCAAAAATCCTTGGGCAACGGAAAGACCCACAAAGATTACAATGGGGACAGCAAGTCATTTTATGTATTCAACAAATACCAGTTGTGCATTTGTCTAGGCATTAGGGGCACAAAGTGAGCAAGACACGGGTAGTCCCCGCCTTTTAGAAGCTTAAAACACATACACATGTTCAGTGGGCAAAGAGTTTCCTTTTGGAGTGATGAAGATGTTTAGGAACTAGATAGAGGTGATGGTTGTATGCACTTGAGGCCACTGAATTATTCACTTTAAAATGGTTAATTTCATATTATGTAAATCTCACCTCAATTCAAAAAAAAAACATATGCAAGGCAACTGGCATGGAGATAATGAAAATGTAATCCCCACCCAGATCATTTTTCTGCATTCTAAAAGTTTCATGAGTTTCATGTGTTCAACAAGTAATTTGCACAGAATGAAAAGTTGGGCTTATTTTGCCGGCAGAAGAACATTCTCTCCCATCTAATGGCTGGCCCTGATAATCCTGCATTGAGAAACTCCATTCATTCATTTAGAGTATCTATGCTACAGCAGGTACCAGGGGTTACAGACTTGAACAGGACACAGTCTCTGCAATGAACATGGGCATGCAGATACCTCTTTGAGATGCAGATTCCATTTCCTTGGATATACGCCAAGAAGTGGGCTTGCCGGATCATATAGTATTCTATTTTTTAATTTTTTGAAGACCCTCCATACTGTTTTCCATAATGGCTGCACCAGTTTACATTGCTGCCAACTCCACATCTCTGCCAACAATTGTTATCACTTGTCTTTTTGATGATAGCCGTTCTAAGAAGTGTGGGATGATATTTCAGTGGTTTTGACTTGCATTTCCCTGATGATTAGTGATGTTGAGCACCTTTCCATGTACCTGTTGGCTCTTCGTATACTGTTTGAGTTCCTTATATTTTTTTAGATACTAAAAATGGTAACTATGTGAGATAATGAATATGTTAATTAACTTGATCGTGGTCATCATTTTACAATGTATCTGAATATCAAATCATCACACTGTACACCTCAAATATATACAATTTTGTCAATTACACCTCAATAAAGTGAGGGGGAAGAAGAAAATACTCACCAAAAAAAAGACACAAATTCTGCCTTGGGGCCCTCTCAGTCCCTCAAGGAAAGTTTACATCTGATGTGCATGTGCTGTTCCCTATGCAAGGATGCTTTCTCCCCATTCGTCACCTGAATAACTCTTGTAATTCTTCAATC